TCAGATTCCGGTGACCTTTGCATATTCCATTGCTGAGGCGATTTGACACTGAGCAGTGCGACGAATTGATGCACGTGGGACGGGCGTCTCTTCAAGTTTCGCTTCAAGACAAAGCGACGAACACCCGTCTGAGACCCTTCTTATTCGCCGACTGGAAGCGGCGAATTTCTAGTTGAAACCTGTGTCGCAGTGGAGCTGCGTGCCGACATCGCCATGAATTTGTTTGTGATGCACTGAGAATAGATTTACTGGCGAGGTCCTGCAGGCATTTGCGCACAAATTTTCCCCATGGGGGCGGGGAGTGGGCCATGGGCCCGAAAAGAAAAAGGTGTAAGGGTGGGGAAAGCAGTGCAGCAGTCGGTGGCGAGCCGTTGCCGCGCCCCCCTTTGTCTGAAGGACAGTCTTGGTAGCCAGCCTCCGGGAATCGTCCGGGCGCTGGGTTTTGAGTCTCACCGCGTGCCGCCAATGGCAGCTTTTGGCGCCCGTGCACCACAGGTTATTGTGGTGCCAATGGGCGCAGCAATTCACTCCGATCCGCTTGCGCTCCGACTGCTCTTGCGTGAGAGCAGGTCGCAGCGCGGCTTCTTGGAAAAGCTAGAGCTTTGATGCCATAAAACTGGCACGGCGTATCAGATTTCTTCTCAGACCAAAGGCGGAAAAAAACAAAAAACACAGTGCTCAGCCGATTGGTTCTAGCGAAACCTGAGACAGCTGGTCGCGAACACCACTTTTAATGGAAAAGGACACCCACCATGGGGGTCTCCATGATTTCCCTATCTGATACATCAAATGACCACCCAAAGGGAACCCCGCAGGATTTCTTTATAGAAAAAAACACGACGCACTCCAGCTTGGCCTCAATAGTTCCTTTGAGACAGACCCGTTCGATTGATACAATGCGCGTGCCGAACTTGAAGGGTCTTGTGACTTGCATGGCCGCTGAGGGGTGGGGTTTGGCATTATCTTTCAATTACACAAGTTTCAACTGGGACCCCCCCTCCACATCCATATCTCATTCATCCCCTTGGTTTCCTTTCAATCCCCAACAGCAGGTCTGCCACATGAGCTTTGGTTTTGGACCACCAAACCTTTGCGATCTTTTTTTCCATGGGGCTCGTTTCTTTTTCGTCAATTCCCGAAAAAAGCGGCCCGGGTCCCAGCCTACCGCCAGGCGGTGCCGCTGCAGCCGCAGGTCACGCAGCTGGCCTCAGGCGCAAGTTGGGCGGGCGGTGGTTTGCCGCCGTTGCTGTGGGTGGCCCCGAACGGGGGGGAGGTTGAGGGGCTTTGTTGATTTTGCGGGTGGCCTGTCTCTTTTTCTTGTTTGTTGGGGGGGGGGGGGTGGGGGATTGTGGAGTTGTTTCAAGTTTTTGTAGACGGGGTCATTCAAATATATTCAAATCACACAAAGTCCTTGGCAACGTAGGGATGTTCCTCGAGGGTTGGGTCATGTAGTCATGAACTCTTTGTGGGATAAAACCACCTCCGCATAAACCATAGATAAAGACCCACAAACAGGCCTATGTGGAAACCACTAGATAGACCTGTCGAAGAGAAAAACCCAAACACCTCCACTGGAAATCCTAAAGAAAGCGATGGAAACGCATCCGCCCGGAAAAAAAAGAAAAAGAAAAACGAATCGAGGCCTGCCGCTGCAGCTGCGGCTCCGGGGCTCTGAGGAAGCGCCGCTGGCCTTCCCCAAGGCTGGGAACCGGCCCACCGGGTGGCTTTCTGGGGGGAGGAATAGGGGGGGGAAGCTGGGAATCGTCTACTTGAGTTTGTTGGGGCATGGCCCGGCCGATAACCTGAGAAAACCACGAAGGCATTTGCATGCTCAATACTAGGGAAATTACCCCAGGTAGCCGGACACAGCCGGGTTTGATCAGGATTCCTCAAGGGTGTACGGGGGGGCATAGACAACAGTCCTTGGACTTAGGGAATAGATTTCTGTTTCGGTCGTTGGTTTCGTGTTTTTCGTTTGCTTTCTTTCGGGAGGGCACCGGCGTGGATGGTTTAGCCGCCCAAGGCGTCCTTCCTGCCGCTGGCGGAGGCGAGGAGCGGGGACTTCTGCCCCTTCAGCAAGGCTGTGACAGAGGCGTCGCCGCGGGGGAGGGGCCGGGGTGGAGCTGCCAAGGACCGACGGAGGTGCCGTGTTTAGTTTTAGGGGCCGCCGTTGATACCATTTGTCCCTCTTTTTTGTTCTCTTGGGGGGGAGACTTGAGTTATTGGAATCCGTGAGGAAGTGACCGTCGGGGGCTGAAAGGCAAGGGCAATGCGTTTCAGGCCTCCATGGAGCGTGCTGCGGCGCTCATCACGGAGGACCAGCTTCGCGGGTTTTGTGTGCCTGACGCGCACATTGCCGCACACCCAGGTGGGAGGAACTGAAAACTCGGGGCCTCCCGCAAAGGTGCTCATCTTTCTTGAGGGATCAGCGTCCTGGATGATCCCCCCCGAAGAGGGCTGTTTGCGGGACGGGCAGCACAGATGCTTGGTTACTGAGCTGAGTGTAGCAAGTAACTATGACATCAGTACATCATTCAGAAGTGTACAAGAAGAGGGCTTGGCCGGTTTCCTTCTGATCTCAGAAAAGAAATCTCATCGCCGGCATGGCGGGATCTTGGGGCACCCAAGGTCGAGCTGTACGACCTGCCCGAAGGAGCAATCCACCTGGCACCGGCGAACTTTGGCCCGTTGGGGTCCATGGACAGAATATTTTTCACCGCAGAAGACTCTCCAAATCGGTCAACTGTGGTGGGCGACGTACGGACCTCTTCACTTGCGGTTTTGGGAACTTTGGATGTAAAGGTTAGCCACGGCCATACCATACCCATTTGGGTATTGTGTTGACCCAAAATGAACAGGCAACTTTCGTACTCATGGGCAATGTGCTTCCCAGATCATCACCTTTGAGATGAGTGTTTCTTGTCGACGTTGACTTGGCTCATATTAAACCCCGCCTTTGGGTTTGTGAGCTGAAGTCCCTGGAGCCAGGAGAAGCATCTCGGAGGCAAGGGATATGGAGCGGTTTCCAAGAGAAACATCCCAAATGCGTGGTGAACAGAAGGGATGCTTTCTGTTGGGACTTTTGCTCACCGAAATGCACACGGCCTTTTCATACAAGCGGCACATCATAGAACCTGGCACATAGACGAGGGTTTTGGTTCCATTTTCGAGCCGGGCGCAAAGAATCGAAACAGAAACCGGCTTTTGAAAAGGTCCGGTCCAAAAAGATCAGGCGGTGTCTGCACTCGCCAGGCGGCTCATGAGCCACTTGGCCCAGCTGCCGACAGCGCCGGGGAATTTCTGGGTGCGGGAGACGGAGGCTTCCACTGCCCTGGTGGCCCTCAGGAGGCGCACTGGGACTCGGGGGGCCTTTTGGATTGGATTCGGGCCTTTGACACATGCCCAAAAGGAATCCACTTGTGCTTTGAATGGTGAGAGGTTGTGCCTTCAAAGGTTGCCAAGTGGCTCATTACCATGTTGGACGAGTTGGGGACGGCGCTGAGGGCATCGCACGCCCGGCAGCTCCTGGAGATTACTGCCCAAGGCCGATTCGGTCGCAACTGGCTTCCGTTTCAAGGTTCCCGGGTCCGCCGCACAAAAACCGTAGTTACCGAAGGGTCGCAGGGTTCGGATTTTTGCTGGGTGACCTCCCGCGGACGTGTTCGGATGGGATCGATTTGTCGCAGGCACAGGAGATGTGCAGGCCAGGGCGCTGCAACATGCCACAGCCGCCTCGCGGCAGAGGCACGGAAGGGGGCGGGGAATGGTGGACGCCTGGTATAGTTGGTCTATTTTTTGCAACCTGAGGAAAGGGCATTGTATGGGCGCACGAAAGCATGGAGCCCTATCCTTTTTTTGGAGTTAGGGCCCCTTTCAGCTGCGTTGAGGGAGGAGACTCCATTTGTACACTACCTGCTTTTGAGTCAAGTGATTTTCTGGAAACAAGGCTTTGGGCAGATGAGTTCTTATATGTACGGCATAGCTTGGACTTGTGATCAGGGTGACTTAAACCACTTCTAATGAACAGGTCCAATGGCGCGTTTGCGGCCTTGGGACAATCATGCGGCTTGTTGGCATCTGGTTTCGCAATCCAATTGATGGAGCCCACTCAACGGGTCACCCAATTGCTCACATCCTGAGTTCATGAATATCTACTTTTTGGGAAGACCATTTTAGTGGCAAACCCAAAGGTTTGTTGGCCCATCCACTCAATCGGAAGTGAGATTGTGGCTGGGGTTGCACGGCGGAAGCTGGTTGCTTCATAGCCGCGAGGCTGCGCGAGTGGCGGGGCGAGGAGTTCCGCCCACAGGCGAGGTGTGACCCGAGTGGCAGGTTGATATTTTGCCTTTTCCCAGAAAGAATCAGTTGGAGCACGTCAAAAGGTGCCTGAAAAACGGGGGTGTGCCCTTTGACTGGTTGGGTGACGCACCATGTGCTGCGCATGGCAGGCCAACCCCACAGCGGCCAGACGCTTGATCCATGGCAGCCTGCAGAGCCAGATGCCGCTGGCGCACCTGATAGAGGTGTTCTCGGGTCTCGCGCGGGTCTGTGGTTGGGAGCCAGCTGATGTATGCATGCTTGTCTTTTCGAGTTTTACCGGTCTTTGACATACCTGGATTTAGAACCCCCAATGACATGGGCATCAGGTTTCCTTTGGGTTCCCTTCAACGGGCCTTGCCACGTGCGCCAGGAGAGGAATTCGAAGCGCCCAAAGCTGGAGTGAAGCATCGCAAGGGGCGGTCGTGGGCACATGGCTCTGCGCAAGCATGGCGAATTCGGGGACTTCCGAAAAGGGTTGGTAAGTCGTTGAAAGTTTCTCATGATTTAAGTTTATACCAAGGATGTTTGCAAGTATCATGTACACATACCCAGCATATTTCGGTACATGCCTCGAGCGATGTGCCTTGGGTGTGATGGACCAACAAAAAAGCGAGCGGCCGGTGGCAAGGCTCGGAGGTCGATTGAGGATCCGGCGGGTGAGTCGGTCACGCGTCCTGCAGGTGGTGGAAGCCAGGAAGACGCGGAATGCCGACAAGGAGGCGCTTGGGGAATAGGTAGATTGGTAGGTAGATACGTAGGTACTCTCAGGTAGGTAGGTAGGTAGGTAGGTAGGTAGGTAGGTAGGTAGGTAGATACGTAGGTACTCTCAGGTAGGTAGGTAGGTAGGTAGGTAGGTAGGTAGGTAGGTAGGTAGGTAGGTAGGTAGGTAGGTAGGTAGGTAGGTAGGTAGGTAGGTAGGTAGGTAGTCGTAGGTAGTCGTAGGTAGTCGTAGGTAGTCGTAGGTAGTCGTAGGTAGTCGTAGGTAGTCGTAGGTAGTCGTAGGTAGTCGTAGGTAGTCGTAGGTAGTCGTAGGTAGTCGTAGGTAGTCGTAGGTAGTCGTAGGTAGTCGTAGGTAGTCGTAGGTAGTCGTAGGTAGTCGTAGGTAGTCGTAGGTAGTCGTAGGTAGTCGTAGGTAGTCGTAGGTAGTCGTAGGCACTCGTAGGTACTCGTAGGTACTCGTAGGTGCTCGTAGGCACTCGTAGGTACTCGTAGGTACTCGTAGGTGCTCGTAGGTGCTCGTAGGTGCTCGTAGGCACTCGTAAGCTGCTCGTAGGCACTCGTAGGTACTCGTAGGGACTCGTAGGTACTCGTAGGGACTCGTAGGTACTCGTAGGTACTCGTAGGTACTCGTATGCACTCGTAGGCACTCGTAGGTAACCGTAGGCACTCGTAGGCACTCGTAGGTAACCGTAGGCACTCGTAGGCACTCGTAGGTACTCGTAGGCACTCGTTGGTACTTGTAGGTACTCGTAGGCACTCGTAGGTACTCGTAGGCACTCGTAGGCACTCGTAGGTACTCGTAGGTACTCGTAGGCACTCGTAGGCACTCGTAGGCACTCGTAGGCACTCGTAGGCACTAGGCACTCATAGGCACTCGTAGGTACTCGTAGGTACTTGTAGGCACTCGTAAGCACTTGTAGGCACTCGTAGGCACTCGTAGGCACTTTTAGGCACTCGTAGACACTCGTAGGTCCTAGTAGGCGCTCGTAGGTGCTCGTAGGTGTAGGTACCCGTAGGTGCTCGTAGGTAGGTTGGTTTGCAGGTAGATTGATAAGTTTGGATCCTATGGCCTGGACAAGGTGAAAACTACCGCATTCCAGCTACCGCACGACAGAGCATTTAGATCGACGTCTGGGTCTCTTGGGGTTTTCACTCCAAATGCAGCGTTCAGAACTGGCATGTGGGGGGCACCTCTTCTGGCAGATTTTTTTGATGGGAGATGGGGAAGCTGCCGAGACCCATGGCGCAACCCCGGGGTTTTGGTTACGGTTCCGACGTCGCCAGGCTTTGGCCAAGTTGGAGCGGAAGGTCCTGAGCTACCAGCAAGAGACCGAGCGGACGACGGCAGCGCCCCAAGCCAAGCGTGTTGGAACTGTTGAGGGGACTTGTGCTGGCAGGGCCTCGTATGAATTCTCCAGGTCACTCCAAAAGGGTTACTTCAAGACTGTTACCCCAAATAAAGTTACCCACCAAAGGTGTCAAAAGGAAAGTGCCGCCAATGGGCTGGGAGACGACAGGTTCTTGAGGAGCGGGAGCGCCAGGCGCGATGCCACGGCCGCGAGAGGTGATGTGTCGCAAGTTGCGGGAGCACAAATTAAGGGGATGCCTTGTTCTTGTCAACCAAACACTTTTATAGGATTCCTACGGAGCCTGCATGTCACATTCTCAGATTGGGCTCACGGGGGCGAGTGGTTCAGGCGCAGAGCGAGATCCAGCAGCTGAGAGCGGCGCTCGAAGAGGCTGGGCATTTTTCTTGGGTTGATAGGCAGGGAATGGCCGGGTTGTTGTTTTAAGGGTTTCTTCAAGCTGATGACCCAATCAGATGCGCATTTTATGAACCAATCAGAAGCCTCTTCTTTCTTAAGCCGATTTTGAACATGCTTTCAATCGCCAATTTTGGTTCATGCTAACCGCCCTGAATGAGTTGGAATGACCCCTTACTGTGGATGGACGACATCCTGCACCAGTAGGTCAGTAGGTGGTGCATCCCAGCTGGTCGAGTTCGTCCCCTCCAGCCAGGGGTGAGGCATTTGTTTCGTGATGCAGGGGTGTTGGGCACTTTGGGCGAAAGCCTTTCCTGTGAGGCCAGGATGGCAGAGGAGGAGGATCCTGAGGACCGTCCGTGCAAGATGTTGGGGCTGCGGATCAAGGCAACCATGTTGAGGCCGCTTTTTGGGCCTTAGCTTGGATGTACTCTGTACGGGCAGCAATCCCCAAAGACCCACAGCCCCCTTCCAAGGTGTTCTTTGTTATCAGTTTGGGGAAGCCCCGTTATAGCCGCAGGAAAACCCAAACAAGGGAGAACCCGTGCGATTGGTGACGCTCTAAGGATGAAACAGTAGTGGATGGCAGTTCCCGATAGATGCGGGTAAGAGGGGATGACGAAAAGAAACATGGGAATTGGCATTGTGTCAGTTTTCGCACGACTAGCTTACCCAGTAGCTAGTGTAGGACTAAATTTCCCACCCAATGGATCCAGCCAGCGTTTAGCAGGTACGGTAGCCAATTGTACCCCCTTACTGACCTTACATTCCGAAGAGTTTATTGGAGGCTACCCTTGTAGGGGCTGAGTTAAAGGGACAGCAAGTTGAAACTGTTGCCACTTGGTGTGGGTCCAACAAAAGAGACACATCCATATTCCAAAAGAGTCGTCTTCTCTCAACCTGCGCATACCCAAAACCAATGTGTCACTTAGGAGCTGGCGGCCCTGGAGGCGGAAAAGCAGCGCCTGGCAGCGAGGGTCGCAGAGCTTCAGGAGGCGAAGGGAGGGGAGCCTCAGGCTCAGGAAAGGCAGCCGAAACAGTTTTGGGAAAAACACGTCTTTTTCTGTTTTGGTGGTGGTGGGGGAGAGGGGCTTTTTTGACGCACATGTGTCTGGACAGATTTCCTATGGCCAGGCCTCCTTTGGTGTCCATTTTTTAGCAAGTAATTGCATTCGCCTGGTGAGCTACCAAGCTGGGAGACACGCCCAGCAAAGGGGAAGGTTCCACCACTTTGAGAAGCTCCCACTTTGGTCTCCGAATTTTGGGATTCATCGGAATTTGGTATGTCCGTTTAAGCATCTGAGATGCCGGGGGAGATCACCAGGAGTTCATATGAGCCCGCTCAAAACCCCTTTTCCTTGGTCTGTCACATACAACCGTGACGGGAATTGTTATTGGTTCGTTTCAAAATTCGAAACGGGTGTGCCAAGGTGGCTGGGGGGTTGGGTGTTTGGATATGCCCGCATGGATCTTGGGGGATTGTTTACGACTACTCCTTTGCTGGGTTTGGGTGTTTTGATATGCCCCGATAGATCTTGGCAAATGGTTAAAGAATTCAGCTATGAGCAATTTTGGGCTCCGCGACGTTTCGTGCAGGAACAAGCACAGCTGTCAGCTGTGCAGGCTAGGGCGTGACCAGAGCAATCACGGAGGGGAGGAGAGAGAGCGAGAGCGCCTGCTTGGCCCGTGGGGCCAGGGGAAGCTCCCCTAAAGCCGAAGAACGAGAGAGAGAGAGAGAGAGACAGTAGCGTGCGAGAGTAGTGCGCAAATCGGAGGCCGAAAAAAGCAAAGTGGAAGGTCAGCTACTGGCAGTTCAGGCGCCGGCACGGCTCGTTTGTTTGGTGGTGTCTGACAGTGCACCGAGAAGAAGACCTTTGCAGGTAGCCCTTAACCGGTAGTTTGGACTGGTGGGCCGAGATTTGACATTTAGTCCCTCTTGAAGCCAAGTGGGGAGCTCATTTGTAGCCTCTAAGCCGCCAATGCAAGCCAGCAAACCGATTTGGAAGAATGAGCCTTCGCCTTTCTTCCTTGAGCAGTTTTTTCCGCGCAGGACGAGCTGGAGGCTCGGGAGCTGCCGCGTTCGGCAATTTTTGGGGCCTTTCCTTGGGCCCGAGGGGGCCAAGATGTTGGCTACCTTTGGGCTTGATTCTACCCTGGGGCAAGGGCAGTCAACATGGGGGGACCCTTTTCGGGGTGCCCTTTAAGCCAACCTGAGAACGTACCAACGATAATTGTTTAGGCAGCACTCCATGTTTGGAACTGGGTGGCTCGTGTGTTTTTGGAGTTGGTCTTTTTTTCCCCCCCGGGTTTAATGTGGAGACCGCCAGGAAGACTGAAGCCATGTTAGGGCTTCCCCCCAAACAAGTACACGCCCATATGGAACAAAAGCCGTGGTTGAGCTGCTGGTGCCGTCAGGAGTTTCCGGCTGTGTCAGGAGGCGGAGGCGCGGTGGCAGCTGGTGGCGGCGGATCTGAACCAACGGCTGGCCTTGGCGGAGGAGGAGAGTCGACGGCTCAAGGCGGGGGCTGGGGGGGGGTGGCGGAGGGGGTTTGGCGGTGTGGGGTCCTGAAGGCAGGTGGGGCAGACTTGGGTTTGAGCAATGGTTCAGCCCTGTTTAAACAAGGGGTCGGCAAAATCCTGCCTGAACGGTGCGTTCCAGCAGAAGAGTGGCATCACCTCTTCATCCGCCTGGTTGATGAATCCGTGGTTGATATTTGGAAACACCAAATGTCAGGTGAGTGGTGTTGTTTGGAGCCTTCTGGGGTAGTCAACCACGTGGCCCGAGAAATGTGGGGTCTCCTAGAGGTTTCGCTTTTGAACATCCCTTTTGCGTTGCGTTAGGAGGGTCATGACAGACCTTATATGTGCGATGGTCACAAACCGTGTCGCTTTCTGGGGAAGAATTACGAGAGAGGTTATCCACCCTTCACGGAATTTAGATAAGACTTCCCCCTCGCGGATCTAAGGCCAGATCTAAAGACCGTTACGATGGATGTCGGCGGGAACGATGGAACCTCTGTGATTGAAACACAAACTAGCTTTCGGGTTTTGTGATGGGATGTGGTTTGGCTCACTTGGTTTATGAGTACTTTGTTTTTTGGGGACTCAACCGCATGTTGTCGAGCTTTCTCCCTTTACAGGTTCTTCTGCTTTGGTTCCGCGTCTTCCCAGATATTGCCAAGCTGTGTGTCGGTGCCAGGAAGGGTTGTCCAAACCTCCAATGTATGCCAATCTCAACCCTTCGGAGGGGATTCTCAAAACTGGACTACAGGCTCCCAGGATCCCAAGCTGGGAGTTCGAACCCGAGGCGCAGGAGAAGCAGGCGGGCCCGAACTCCTTCGCCAGCCGGGCGGCGGCGGCGAGAGCCGAGCAAGAGGTGGCCAAGCTGCAGGCGGGGCGGGTGGTGGCAGGTGGATTTCATTTTTCTGCCGACGGGCTGAAGTGGCGCAAGGCTTCGGAGTCCATGCCCAGGCCGAAAACGCGGAGCTGGCGGCAGCACGCGACCTCAGCGATGCGAAGTCCGAGGCCGGCATTGGCCCGGTGCAAGTGGAGCGTTCAACACCGCAATTGGTCTGGTTAGCAGGTTCTAGTGCCCAATTGGTTTCATTGGGATTCTAGTACAGCCAATAAAAACAAACAAACAACTTTTGGATACCCATGTCAGAACCCAAAGTCCATGGGTGTTGGTCGCTTTCCTGGGTCCTGGGTCGCTTGGAACTGGGAAAACCATGGCTTCAAGCCACTGGCACTCTGAAGTTCAGAGCTGTGGTTGGCGGCTTCTGCTCAGGCAGAGAAGGCCAAACTCGCCCAGCTGGATGCCGTGCGCACGGAGGCGTGGTTTGCCGAGTCTTGTTCACACGGTTGGCGTATCTTTCTTGTTGGCGATGGCGGGGCATGTGGCTTTGCACTGCTTCCACTCTTCGAGGCCGACTCCAAAGTGAGCAAGCTGAAGGCTGCTTTGGAGTCTGAGCAGGCGTGCTTTGGCATCTTTGGGCCCTTGACGACTTGAAAAGTATTGCTTGTTGCTTTTGGCGCAGGCAGCGAGGGCTGACTTGGAGAAGCAGATGCAGGCCGACCAGAAGGAGGCGCTGTCCGCGTGAGCACGTTATGACCTTGGGCAGACATATGAGAGAATTATATGATGTCTTGACTACTGCAGCTGCTTGGTGCGCAGAGTGCCTAGCGACTTGTTCCGAAGGTGTTGGACAGCTTGACGAACAAAGCAGCAACGGCTGCCAAAGCAGTTGAGGCAAGTGAGGCTGGGCAGATGGGTCAGCAGCAGAGCGGAGTCATGTTGCAGGCTGCAGGGCATGTTCCATGGCGCTTCAATCTGATTAGAGTTGAGCGGGGTGTATGGCGGGGTGCATGGCCGGGTGTGTGGCCAGCTTGGGTTGGGTCAACTTGAAGTAGCTTGGCAGGCAGAGAAGGGCAAACTCGCCCAGCAGCTTGATGCCGTGCGCACGGAGGCGTGGTTTGCCGAGTCTTGTTCACACGGTTGGCGTATCTTTCTTGTTGGCGATGGTGGGGCACGTGGCTTTGCACTGCTTCCACTCTTCGAGGCCGACTCCAAAGTGAGCAAGCTGAAGGCTGCTTTGGAGTCTGAGCAGGCGTGCTTTGGGCATCTTTGGGCCCTTGACGACTTGAAACGTATTGCTTGTTGCTTTTGGCGTAGGCAGCGAGGGCTGACTTGGAGAAGCAGATGCAGGCCGACCAGAAGGAGGCGCTGTCCGCGTGAGCACGTTATGACTTTGGGCAGACATATGAGAGAATTATATGATGTCTTGATTACTGCAGCTGCTTGGTGCGCAGAGTGCCTAGCGACTTGTTCCGAAGGTGTTGGACAGCTTGACGAACAAAGCAGCAACGGCTGCCAAAGCAGTTGAGGCAAGTGAGGCTGGGCAGATGGGTCAGCAGCAGAGCGGAGTCATGTTGCAGGCTGCAGGGCATGTTCCATGGCGCTTCAATCTGATTAGAGTTGAGCGGGGTGTGTGGCGGGGTGTGTGGCCGGGTGTGTGGCCAGCTTGGGTTGGGTCAACCTGAAGTAGCTTGGTAGGCAGAGAAGGCCAAACTCGCCCAGCAGCTGGATGCAATGCGCAAGGAGGCGTGGTTTGCCGACTCTTATTGATTTTTTTGGTGTATCTTTGCCTTCTTGGCCTTGTGTTTCTTTGCGATGGTGGGACATGCGTATTGGCACTGCTTCCACTCTTCGAGGCCGACTCCAAAGTGAGCAAGCTGAAGGCCGCTTTGGAGTCTGAGCAGGCGTGCTTTGGCATCTTTGGGCCCTTGACGACTTGATGAGTATTGCTTGTTGCTTTTGGCGCAGGCAGCGAGGGCTGACTTAGAGAAGCAGATGCAGGCCGACCAGAAGGAGGCGCTGTCCGCGTGAGCACGTTATGACCTTGGGGAGACATATGAGAGAATTATTTAGAGGCTATCAGTTGCACGTGAGACATGATGCAGATGATTTCTTGATTACTGGAGCTGCTTGGTGCGCAGAGTGCCTAGCGACTTGTTCCGAAGGTGTTGGACAGCTTGACGAACAAAGCAGCAACGGCTGCCAAAGCAGTCGAGGCAAGTGAGGCTGGGCAGATGGGTCAGCAGCAGAGCGGAGTCATGTTGCAGGCTGCAGGGCATGTTCCATGGCGCTTCAATCTGATTAGAGTTGAGCGGGGTGTATGGCGGGGTGCATGGCCGGGTGTGTGGCCAGCTTGGGTTGGGTCAACTTGAAGTAGCTTGGCAGGCAGAGAAGGCCAAACTCGCCCAGCAGCTGGATGCCGTGCGCACGGAGGCGTGGTTTGCCGAGTCTTGTTCACACGGTTGGCGTATCTTTCTTGTTGGCGATGGCGGGGCACGTGGCTTTGCACTGCTTCCACTCTTCGAGGCCGACTCCAAAGTGAGCAAGCTGAAGGCTGCTTTGGAGTCTGAGCAGGCGTGCTTTGGCATCTTTGGGCCCTTGACGACTTGATGAGTATTGCTTGTTGCTTTGGCGCAGGCAGCGAGGGCTGACTTAGAGAAGCAGATGCAGGCCGACCAGAAGGAGGCGCTGTCCGCGTGAGCACGTTATGACCTTGGGGAGACATATGAGAGAATTATTTAGAGGCTATCAGTTGCACGTGAGACATGATGCAGATGATTTCTTGATTACTGGAGCTGCTTGGTGCGCAGAGTGCCTAGCGACTTGTTCCGAAGGTGTTGGACAGCTTGACGAACAAAGCAGCAACGGCTGCCAAAGCAGTCGAGGCAAGTGAGGCTGGGCAGATGGGTCAGCAGCAGAGCGGAGTCATGTTGCAGGCTGCAGGGCATGTTCCATGGCGCTTCAATCTGATTAGAGTTGAGCGGGGTGTATGGCGGGGTGCATGGCCGGGTGTGTGGCCAGCTTGGGTTGGGTCAACTTGAAGTAGCTTGGCAGGCAGAGAAGGCCAAACTCGCCCAGCAGCTGGATGCCGTGCGCACGGAGGCGTGGTTTGCCGAGTCTTGTTCACACGGTTGGCGTATCTTTCTTGTTGGCGATGGCGGGGCACGTGGCTTTGCACTGCTTCCACTCTTCGAGGCCGACTCCAAAGTGAGCAAGCTGAAGGCTGCTTTGGAGTCTGAGCAGGCGTGCTTTGGCATCTTTGGGCCCTTGACGACTTGATGAGTATTGCTTGTTGCTTTGGCGCAGGCAGCGAGGGCTGACTTAGAGAAGCAGATGCAGGCCGACCAGAAGGAGGCGCTGTCCGCGTGAGCACGTTATGACCTTGGGGAGACATATGAGAGAATTATTTAGAGGCTATCAGTTGCACGTGAGACATGATGCAGATGATTTCTTGATTACTGGAGCTGCTGGTGCGCAGAGTGCCTAGCGACTTGTTCCGAAGGTGTTGGACAGCTTGACGAACAAAGCAGCAACGGCTGCCAAAGCAGTCGAGGCAAGTGAGGCTGGGCAGATGGGTCAGCAGCAGAGCGGAGTCATGTTGCAGGCTGCAGGGCATGTTCCATGGCGCTTCAATCTGATTAGAGTTGAGCGGGGTGTATGGCGGGGTGCATGGCCGGGTGTGTGGCCAGCTTGGGTTGGGTCAACTTGAAGTAGCTTGGCAGGCAGAGAAGGCCAAACTCGCCCAGCAGCTGGATGTCATGCGCCAGGAGGCGTGGTTTGCCGACTCTGGTTGATTGCTTTGGTGTATCTTTGCCTTCTTGGCCTTGTGTTTCTTTGCGATGGTGGGACATGCGTATTGGCACTGCTTGCAATCTTCGAGGCCGACTCCAAAGTGAGCAAGCTGAAGGCCGCTTTGGAGTCTGAGCAGGCGTGCTTTGGCATCTTTGGGCCCTTGACGACTTGATGAGTATTGCTTGTTGCTTTGGCGCAGGCAGCGAGGGCTGACTTAGAGAAGCAGATGCAGGCTGACCAGAAGGAGGCGCTGTCCGCGCGAGCAAATTCGGACCTTGGGGAGACATATGAGAGAGTTTTTAGAAGCTACCAGCTACTATACACGTGAGGCATACTGGAGACGCTTGGTGCGCAAATTGCCTAGCGACTTGTTCCGAAGGTGTTGGACAGCTTGACGAAGAAAGCGGCCGCAGCTTCCAAAGAAGTCAAGGCGAGCGAGGCGGGGGTCATTTTTCAGGCCGCAGAGCATGTTCCATGGCGCTGATTCAGTCTGATTCGAGTTGAGCGGGGTGTGTGGCGGGGTGTGTGGCGGGGTGTGTGGTCAGCTTGGGTTGGGTCAACTTGAAGTAGCTTGGCAGGCAGAGAAGGCCAAACTCGCCCAGCAGCTGGATGTCATGCGCAAGGAGGCGTGGTTTGCCGACTCTTATTGATTGCTTTGGCGTCTCTTTGCCTTCTTGGCCTTGTGTTTCTTTTCGATTGTGGGGCGTCTGGAATTGCACTGCTTCCACTCTTCGAGGCCGACTCCAAAGTGAGCAAGCTGAAGGCTGCTTTGGAGTCTGAGCAGGCGTGCTTTGGCATCTTTGGGCCCTTGACGACTTGATGAGTATTGCTTGTTGCTTTGGCGCAGGCAGCGAGGGCTGACTTAGAGAAGCAGATGCAGGCCGACCAGAAGGAGGCGCTGTCCGCGTGAGCACGTTATGACCTTGGGCAGACATATGAGAGAATTATTTAGAGGCTATCAGTTGCACGTGAGACATGATGCAGATGATTTCTTGATTACTGGAGCTGCTGGTGCGCAGAGTGCCTAGCGACTTGTTCCGAAGGTGTTGGACAGCTTGACGAACAAAGCAGCAACGGCTGCCAAAGCAGTCGAGGCAAGTGAGGCTGGGCAGATGGGTCAGCAGCAGAGCGGAGTCATGTTGCAGGCTGCAGGGCATGTTCCATGGCGCTTCAATCTGATTAGAGTTGAGCGGGGTGTATGGCGGGGTGCGTGGCCGGGTGTGTGGCCAGCTTGGGTTGGGTCAACTTGAAGTAGCTTGGCAGGCAGAGAAGGCCAAACTCGCCCAGCAGCTGGATGTCATGCGCAAGGAGGCGTGGTTTGCCGACTCTGGTTGTTTGCTTTGGTGTATCTTTGCCTTCTTGGCCTTGTGTTTCTTTGCGATGGTGGGACATGCGTATTGGCACTGCTTGCAATCTTCGAGGCCGACTCCAAAGTGAGCAAGCTGAAGGCCGCTTTGGAGTCTGAGCAGGCGTGCTTTGGCATCTTTGGGCCCTTGACGACTTGATGAGTATTGCTTGTTGCTTTGGCGCAGGCAGCGAGGGCTGACTTAGAGAAGCAGATGCAGGCTGACCAGAAGGAGGCGCTGTCCGCGCGAGCAAATTCGGACCTTGGGGAGACATATGAGAGAGTTTTTAGAAGCTACCAGCTACTATACACGTGAGGCATACTGGAGACGCTTGGTGCGCAAATTGCCTAGCGACTTGTTCCGAAGGTGTTGGACAGCTTGACGAAGAAAGCGGCCGCAGCTTCCAAAGAAGTCAAGGCGAGCGAGGCGGGGGTCATTTTTCAGGCCGCAGAGCATGTTCCATGGCGCTGATTCAGTCTGATTCGAGTTGAGCGGGGTGTGTGGCGGGGTGTGTGGCGGGGTGTGTGGTCAGCTTGGGTTGGGTCAACTTGAAGTAGCTTGGCAGGCAGAGAAGGCCAAACTCGCCCAGCAGCTGGACGTCATGCGCAAGGAGGCGTGGTTTGCCGACTCTTATTGATTGCTTTGGCGTATCTTTGCCTTCTTGGCCTTGTGTTTCTTAAAAGATTGTGGGGCGTCTGGAATTGCACTGCTTCCACTCTTCGAGGCCGACTCCAAAGTGAGCAAGCTGAAGGCTGCTTTGGAGTCTGAGCAGGCGTGCTTTGGCATCTTTGGGCCCTTGACGACTTGATGAGTATTGCTTGTTGCTTTGGCGCAGGCAGCGAGGGCTGACTTAGAGAAGCAGATGCAGGCCGACCAGAAGGAGGCGCTGGCCGCGCGAGCAAATTCGGACCTTGGGGAGACATATGAGAGAGTTTTTAGAAGCTACCAGTTACTATACACGTGAGGCATACTGGAGACGCTTGGTGCGCAAATTGCCTAGCGACTTGTTCCGAAGGTGTTGGACAGCTTGACGAAGAAAGCGGCCGCAGCTTCCAAAGAAGTCAAGGCGAGCGAGGCGGGGGTCATTTTTCAGGCCGCAGAGCATGTTCCATGGCGCTGATTCAGTCTGATTCGAGTTGAGCGGGGTGTGTGGCGGGGTGTGTGGCGGGGTGTGTGGTCAGCTTGGGTTGGGTCAACTTGAAGTAGCTTGGCAGGCAGAGAAGGCCAAACTCGCCCAGCAGCTGGATGTCATGCGCAAGGAGGCGTGGTTTGCCGACTCTGGTTGATTGCTTTGGTGTATCTTTGCCTTCTTGGCCTTGTGTTTCTTTTCGATTGTGGGGCGTCTGGAATTGCACTGCTTCCACTCTTCGAGGCCGACTCCAAAGTGAGCAAGCTGAAGGCTGCTTTGGAGTCTGAGCAGGCGTGCTTTGGCATCTTTGGGCCCTTGACGACTTGATGAGTATTGCTTGTTGCTTTGGCGCAGGCAGCGAGGGCTGACTTAGAGAAGCAGATGCAGGCTGACCAGAAGGAGGCGCTGGCCACGCGAGCAAATTCGGACCTTGGGGAGACATATGAGAGAGTTTTTAGAAGCTACCAGTTACTATACACGTGAGGCATACTGGAGACGCTTGGTGCGCAAATTGCCAAGCGACTTGTTCTGAAGGTGTTGGACAGCTTGACGAAGAAAGCGGCCGCAGCTTCCAAAGAAGTCAAGGCGAGCGAGGCGGGGGTCATTTTTCAGGCCGCAGAGCATGTTCCATGGCGCTGATTCAGTCTGATTCGAGTTGAGCGGGGTGTGTGGCGGGGTGTGTGGCGGGGTGTGTGGCGGGGTGTGTGGTCAGCTTGGGTTGGGTCAACTTGAAGTAGCTTGGCAGGCAGAGAAGGCCAAACTCGCCCAGCAGCTGGATGTCATGCGCAAGGAGGCGTGGTTTGCCGACTCTGGTTGATTGCTTTGGTGTATCTTTGCCTTCTTGGCCTTGTGTTTCTTTTCGATTGTGGGGCGTCTGGAATTGCACTGCTTCCACTCTTCGAGGCCGACTCCAAAGTGAGCAAGCTGAAGGCTGCTTTGGAGTCTGAGCAGGCGTGCTTTGGCATCTTTGGGCCCTTGATGACTTGATGAGTCATTGATGAGTATTGCTTGTTGCTTTTGGCGCAGGCAGCGAGGGCTGACTTAGAGAAGCAGATGCAGGCCGACCAGAAGGAGGCGCTGGCCGCGCGAGCAAATTCGGACCTTGGGGAGACATATGAGAGAATGTTTAGAAGCTACCAGTTACTATACACGTGAGGCATACTGGAGACGCTTGGTGCGCAAATTGCCAAGCGACTTGTTCCGAAGGTGTTGGACAGCTTGACGAAGAAAGCGGCCGCAGCTTCCAAAGAAGTCAAGGCGAGCGAGGCGGGGGTCATTTTTCAGGCCGCAGAGCATGTTCCATGGCGCTGATTCAATCTGATTCGAGTTGAGCGGGGTGTGTGGCGGGGTGTGTGGCGGGGTGTGTGGTCAGCTTGGGTTGGGTCAACTTGAAGTAGCTTGGCAGGCAGAGAAGGCCAAACTCGCCCAGCAGCTGGATGTCATGCGCAAGGAGGCGTGGTTTGCCGACTCTGGTTGATTGCTTTGGTGTATCTTTGCCTTCTTGGCCTTGTGTTTCTTTGCGATGGTGGGACATGCGTATTGGCACTGCTTGCAATCTTCGAGGCCGACTCCAAAGTGAGCAAGCTGAAGGTTGCTTTGGAGTCGGAGCAGGCACTCATGGTGTCATTGTGCTCTTATTGGGCGTGTCATTGAACTCTTATTGGGCTTGCCAGAGCCTTTTTAGGGGGTTTTCCCTTGTTAGACCCACATTCGATCAATGAATCAACAGTGGATGCGCGATTGACTGGCGGTTTGTGGGTGGACATGCTTGCACCAGTTGCGTTGACAGGCCGGGCAAGCGGCGCTTCGGCAAGAGCTAGAGCTGCGAACAGAGGCAGGTGACGGCGTCGATCAACAGGCTTCCCAAGACAGTTTCTTGGGGACTTTCTGCAGAGGGTAGTCAGGGGCCCAAATCACAATCAAAACCCGGGTAAGTTACCGGGTAAGTGACGGTGAGTAAGGGACAATCCCAGCCATCAATGGGGTGCGGCCGCTTTCTCAGTTCTTTACATGGTTCTTGGTAGACCGTTTTAAGTGTGACTCTCATGGGCTTCAAGCAAGTTTCCAGCAAACAACAAGCAGGGCTCCGAAGGAAACCATTTGGTTTTAGACCCCAGTCAATGGGTCACCCAAGTTGAGCTAGACCTCGGCTTTTCAGATTGGAGTGCTGCTCTGGCTCGCAGGGTTTCGATGCGCTCTGAAGCGCCCATGCGCTTGTGATCGATTTTGGAATACAGCTGTTGTCAATGAGTCAGCGCGCCACTTTTTGGAGTTCTACATTTTTATCCCACCGTTCCATTCCGATTTCCTTCAACCATTTATTTTGCTTTTTGTTGTTGCAGATGGTCGTTTCAGCCCATTCACCCTCCGTCCGCGCAGACATCCGAAGTCACATCACCCCAAACCGGGCCTTCGGCCGTTTGCCTTGACGCGACCGCTGGCGGCTCGATCCATGGAGGGCCTCGAGGCAGGGGGGATTCAAGCCATTGTTTAAACCACTAGGTTTTTCTTAACCTTTCGTTTGATCCCTAGACGTTCCTCTGGTTTCCCTTACCCATCTTTAGTCTTCTTGTTTCATCCTTGTTTCATCCTTTGCCTTTCCTTTTCTCGGGGACCCCTCCATTTCCATTCGCAAAGAAAAGTGGCCAATTTTTCAATGGAGCCCATCAATTGCAACTTTCGAGGAAATCCAGGGCCCCTTGTTTTGGGGGTTGATCAAAAGGTCCTTTGCATGGACCAGTAGGAAAGCCGCACAAAATTGCCAAAGCTACCCTTCGTGCTTTGGCCGAAGGGAAGATAGGTGGTTTGGGGATCATGAGAAGCTTGACCGGAACTGCTTCAAACCACGTGATTTGGATCGATCAACTCCGGGTTTGGCGAGTCCAGCGGAGCGAGCTGAGGCCCATTCCCTGGGGGACGAGGACGTGGCACTGCTCCACCAGGCGCACCACCCGCGTCCGCGGGAGGTGCTGGGCTGTCACAGGCGCCGGGGGGCAGAGGTATGATTGACACCGGGTCAATATACTATACTACATTTGCTGAACAATTCACTATACTTTTAGTTTTTCCCCTGGTGAAGGGAATGTATCACTTCAAACATCTCTTTTCCATGTTTTTCCAAGGTGGCTTCAGCAAATGGAGGACTCCGAGAATCTATTTGGCAGCCTGTTTGTTTAGGGTATTGTAGTTCCAGGCTGCAAAATAACCAAGTGTGGCATGGGAGGGGGTATGGTAGCCGCTTGGTCAGGGGTATTTTTGAAGAGATGCGACCTCTCGAGCTGGGACAGCTGCTGTTTGACCTACATCACGCGCAAATGTAAAAGCAAAAACAAAAAGCAAAAACACCATATTTCATTTTATCAGTATGTGACAACTCATTGGCCACGTGGCCTTGGCGGGGATGTCTGCCGCTCTCCGTGTGATTTGCCCCTGGAGGCTGCCCGGGGAAGAGAGCCGATACCTCTTCCGCGTCTGGCACCAGTCGTTGGAGCAGGACTGGGAGGCGATCCGGGGATCCGGTTCTCTCCAAGTCCCCTGGTAATCCTATCCAGCAGCTTTCCTATGGGGCCGATTCCCCCCGGCCGATTCCCCGACTGGTAGGGTTCCTTTTTTGGGGGTCCCCTTTGGTGGGGCTGAGAACCGTGGGAACTTTACACCCTTAGCCATTGTTTCTGAGTCATTTTGACGGTTGCAAGGTGGATGTTTGTGTTTGATCGCCTGAAGGACCCAAAGGCCAAGTTCAGGGCCAGACCAGCCTGCTTGAAACAAATATGACGGTACACTTGGTAATTGTTCTGGACCCTCCTGCAAACCAAAAGGAGGAAAGATGCGGACCCCAAACCACGTATAATCTAGATGTGTGTCCTACAAACAAATGCACAGACTTGTTTTTCACGAGAGCGAACCCAAGGCAGAGGGCAAACAAGTTCTCCTACAGCTGGAGGATGAGACTCCGCCGCGCGGCTGTGCAATGTCGGTGAGACTGGGTTCCCCATTCACAGGCCTCAGCCGCCTTTAACTCCCCCCGTTTCCCGCAACGAGGATATCACCGCCTCAGGCGTTGGGGGAACCGAGAGGTTTCCCGAGAGTTCGGCGCGGGAGGTGGGGACCGCCAGGCACGAGCCACCAGGGGCCTCTTTTCTTGCGTGTAAAAGGGGAGCAGCCAGGCCGATGTCCAAAGAAGCTGTAGGTTTCCGCCGGGTTGGGTCAACCCATGGCCTTGAGGCCAATCCCAATGAGAAGAAGATGTGCCTGGCTCTACGAAGCCGTGGTGCAGCTTCCTGTGCCAAACTCAGTGGGTCGGCCGGTTCTCGGAAGGGAAGAAGGGAATGACCCCTATAAACCTTGTGGTTTCCTTTAAGGGGAGCCCTGGGTCATTGCCTGCTGAGCACCAGCAAGTTATCGCCGCATGCCGTTCACATTTGGGTGACCCTTCTTTCGGGGTATCTTTCCTTGGGTGGTTTTGAAGGTAGCTCAAAGAGAAACCGAGGCGTTCTCGCCCGTGCGAGACCACCCGAAATTATCATTGCAGTTGCATAATTAGTTTCACCTCAGTTTCCCAGGTCTTTCACAGAAACCCCATGTTGCTTTTACCCATATTTTGACCCATATATGTATGTGCCAAGGTAGGGGGATCCCAAACATGTTGGTTATCCTGGAAAGAAAGTCGCTACATTCAACAGTTGAGGCAGACTGGCTGCCGCCGGAGGACGGCGCCGCGCAAGCTCCGGTGGGGGGCGTGCTGCGGCTGCCGAGATACCACGTACTGTCGCTGGGTCGACATTTGGTAAACATCTGACATCTGTAGGCAACCTTTGGACGCACTTGGTCAAACTCAATCAACATTTATAACATTAAGTCAAGCTTCTGGCAATAATTGGTAACATATGGTAAACATACTGTTATCTGGCCAATGTTTGGGTGTGTTTTTGTCTCAAGGGAAAGAAAAGGGAACCCACTCATCTTCCCTTTATAGGACAATCCATTCAAAGGGGCACCGAATATTTAGGTTTGTGTCCAAATAGGGAGTGGGACTGCCCCAACTGCAAGTTGTCCTTTCGGTTTCCCTTTTAAGCCAACCTTCAGGGTACTGAGAGTGCCTCTCGGGTTGAACGTAGGTCGCCGGATGGACAGAAACTGCACGACAGCTTTGGCTACGCTGGCTTCCTGCTGGCTGAGGCGAGAGGCTTTCAGTGAAGCTCTGGTGTGTGGTGCCTGAATGTACGGGCACCCCCCAAACATTGTGATTTTCCATCGGGCTTCCCTTTAAACCACCTTTTGAGTCAGTTTGGAGGTATATGGGTTCGACTCGCTTCACATGCGAACTCCGGTTCGATTTCGCAGGTAGAGATCGATCAGTTTCAGAGCGGTATCTTCCCGTACGTGGCCGACGCCTTGGGCTGCCATTGTGTGTGCGCAGGAGCCTTGGCAGATAGTTTCTTACTTTGGGTTGGGTTGGTAGGGATGGTCATGGATGCCTTTTTAGGGATTGTAGACAACGGTAAAAGGGTTGTATTATGAGATGCGTGTCCATAGGTGTCCTGATTTAAAGGGACAAAGGGAACACGAGCCCTATTTGTCCATGTGACGCCTATGTGCCTCTCAGGAGGTTTTTCAGCCGAGGAAATGTTTTCGGCCTGCGCTTCGCCACATGGGCGCCGAGGGCGCAGTTTGTCAGCGTCGTAGGAGCGCAAAGGGCCAGCGAGTCGGTGAGTCCATGAGTGGAGTGCCGAGACGTTTTCTTGGAGCACCCTTTTCGGGGCGTGGTTTAAGGAACAAAAGGAAGAGCAAGTCTTGGGGTCTATTCGCGGAGACCACTTTTGGAAAACAATTCTTTAAGGGGGCAACTGCGCACCAAGCCACGACTGTTGGAGGGTAACGGTCAGAGACCTTTTTCGAACTATGCCTACGGCAGATGACTTCTCTTGTAGCTCGCCAACCATGCTGCCTGTAAATACCAACAAACGTTATGGTTTCAACCATGGTTTACAGTGCTGCAAACGGAGTTTGCATTCATCCACCTCCGAGAAGCCTGAATGGCCAGTTTGGGTTTCTCCCCCAACCCCAACCCCAACCCCCCCCCCCATCCCCCCATCCCCATGTGACCTTACCAGGGGCTTGCGGCTCGCTCGGGCCAACGGCTTGCTCAGGAGATTGGAACCGCTGGGACGGGCGCGCCAGCCCCATGGCGCGGCGCTGCCGCGCGGAGGGGCACGGGTTCTCGGGCCTGTGGGAGGTCTTCGTCCCGCGGCCGAGGGCTGGGGGCTGGGGCTTTGGGGCTTTGGGGGTTGGGGGTTCGGGGTTGGTTGAGGTGAGGGTGGGAGGTTTGGCGGTTAGGAGGAGGTTTGGAGCTTTGCATGACTTGCAGATCTTGGGAGGGGGCAGAAAAGGGGTGGCTTGGAGTTTGGAGGTGGGTTGCGTTTGTTTTTCGAAGGAGGAGCGGGTTGGGCGGTTCACTTGATTCCGTTTCGACCCCTTCAACACTAAGTTGCTTTTTGTGGCTCAAATGAAGCATGTGAGCAGGTTGGACGAGTCTTCTGAAGTTGAATACTCTCATCACGTTGGCCAGACGAATCAAGCTTGGCCTTTTAGGTCCCATCCGTTGCAAGCACGCTGTCAGGTTCCGTTTGGATTGGACGTATCGCAAGTGCCGTTTGGCAGCAAGCCGCCTGGATGCAGCGCTGCGCGCGTGTCAGGGCAGCCGATCAAACCGATGGAGAGATCAAGGGGCCCAAGCTGGACTTCAGACTTCGGGGATTTGTGTCCACCAACTGGTGGTTACGTTCCACCAGGTATCCTTTCCCGGACCT